GCCTTTGTTATGAGCAACATTTAGTAAGTACGTTTCCAAACCATAGATGGCGGAACGTTTTGAATTTAGAATAGATCGAAAAATATTTCTAAGATTTACACCAAGGAGTTAAGAATAGAAAGGATGAATGTGAGTCTTTTCATTCCATTTAGAGGAAACGTAATTAATGCTTTTTATTTCCGGCTTACATTTTGCACAAGTAAATTAAAAATATGTTTTGATAAAGAAGAATCAGTATTGGACTGGTGGGACTAATGGTCATTGAACTATCCACAACTTAGCAAACTGGAAAAAGACTATTGAAAGTTCTGGCAAGTTCAGCCATAACTAAACCTATTTTCAGTACGAATCGAAGAATTTAGAACGAGAGAAGACAGAATTGAGCGATGATATTATTAATGGCCGTTCATTCTTATGAAACTTTTGATTTAATTTTGTATTATTTTATCGTTGAAAATCAATGAAAACTAGGGTATAGGTATCAGTGTCTCTTCATTTTATCTAAACCTACATTTACACTCACATCCTCTAAAGAGTAGCCTTATTGTGGATGTTTTTTGTTTCTCAGTCAAACTACATGATTGTATTATTAAAAACAGAGTAAAAAGAAAAATAATAATTATTGTTTGTTTTTTTCGTTGGGTTTCCTAAGGACATAATCAAAGAAATGCATTATTATGTTTACATATACTTATAGTTATTTATGGCACTACCATTTTGATTCATCAAATTTGATTAAGCTGACGATGATCGTCAATTATGAGTTACGTAATGAATAAAAAAAAAGGAGCTTATTGACAACTTAAATACTAATTTGGGTGCAATGTAAAAGAAATATCAAAGAGAAAACAAACTTTATTCAGAAAAAAATTTCAGTAGACTTTATTAAACATTACATTAGTATATACTATATATATATGTATGTATGTACACATTTAATTAATTGATAAAAAAATAATATAGAATTCATTTTCTAATTATGATATAAATGAATTTCCATTTGGCGTTGATGTATGCATAGTTTACCTAAGCACAATGTTCATAAAATTTTCCATCTAGATTGTCATTGACTTTAACATCAGCATTAATTGCAACAATCCATTTTTCAATTTGGTCTGGCATTCGAAGATAAAATCGACCTGTCTTTTTAACGTAAATTGTGTCACATTTTCCATCACCGAATCCAAAATAATCATTAAGCAGCAATTTACCATCGTCACGCATCGTCACTAGTCGTCCTAAATTGAGTCGAACACATATAATCGCTTTTGCAGGCGAAGCATTTTCTCTTTTACATGAACGTGTAAAGAAAATATTCTGTTTGAGGTGTAAATAATCTTTACTCTTTTTATCAGTAGCATCTCCATAAGGAAATCCATTTTGAGCAATATCTAAGGCCTCTTCTGTAGTTGTTTCATAGAAAGCAATAAAAGATTTTTTTTCATCATCTGATAAGTTTTCTAAATCTATATCATGTTCAGCTTCAAGTGTATGATACAATAAATGATGACGAAGACTGCGAGAATCACAATTAATTCCATTTCCACATCTTGAATGTCGAAATCTGTCGGCATTTTGATCATTTAATAATGAATGATGAATAAAACCAAGATGATGTCGATGAGTTTTTTCTATTCGCTGCTTTATACTGGTACTAAACACAGCGTTTCTATTTATTGTATTTCCTGTATCAGTCGGATTGTAAGTCCATAAACGAAAATAATGAATAAATTCAGCTATCATAGCCAATATAGATAATACTAGTGCAATGGCGGCAATGACAACATAGGCAGTGCATAGTGATTTAAAATGAGCAGAACAAGAAGCACCAATAACAAAACAAATAAATCTTAAGATAAAAGAACAAATGATGAAAACAACACGCATCAGTAAAATAGCTTGTGGACGATCATTATGACACTTGAGTCGAATACATGTCATTGTTCCAAAACGCCATAAACATTCCAAAGATGTTTCTTTGGGGATTAGTTGCCTAATGCAATGACGCATAATTACATAAAAGATATTACATATTATTATTGGAATTGATCCAATTAAATCAAATAATAGAATAGGTATAAGAAAACCCATTGTATCAGGAACGCCTTTCGAAATATCATAACTTACAAGACTCAAACGAATAATAAAAAATATCAAGTCAGTTGTATGAAAAGCAATCATAGTTTTGTACCGTATTCTATCATCATAACAATTAATTGGTCTACGAATATTACAGCCCATTTTTCAAATTCAGTTTCTCTTTCTGAAATGAATATATTGATTATTTTATTCCATATAACATGCGTTTATTATGTTCTTTTATATTTTAACTATCGATAAGAACACAAAAGAAAATAGTCTCTAACATTTTTTTACCAACTTTCTGCAGACAAGAGACTGTTGCCACTTTTCTTATCTTTATAATATAAAAGAAATAGCTAGAATAATAAATTCTCAGTCAATATTAATCTCCAACGAAGTACGTTTGTTGGAAAAAAAAAACAATACGAATCATTATTGTGCCATGTTAATGACACAAATCAGTGGCAGTTTTCAAATTCTTCTACAATATACATTCAATGAAAAATTTTAAATAAGGATTGGAAAAAATATACGTCGATTACGGCAGTAAATGCGGTAGGAAGATCGATGAGAGTACTGTTTTTTTCTATATACTGCCATGTCTATCTTATCTCTTAGTTTCTCTTTATCAGTTATGAAGTTGTATTGTGTTAAGTATAAGTTGATTACTTCTAAGACCTCGCAAAAGAAACAAGATTGGAGGGAGGTTCTATAAGACAATGTCTCAGAAGAGTAACAAAATTCAAAAAAGCCTGCTAGTTATCAATTATAGTGAGAGAAAGATATTATCTTCACTTTCGTGGCTTCTGAGTTGCCTGCAAACGTTTAACTCATAAGTCGAAGGGGAAACTGTAGGTATGCATCAAAGATGAGCACAGAACAAGATTTTCCGTCCTGGCCTGTCCTGCCCTTTATTGGCCCCCATCCTGCCGCTCAGCAGGACAGACCAAAATCTTTAGTTTCATCCTGCCCTGGTCATCGCACAGTGTAATCCCATCCTGCCGTTCGGCAGGACAGGACAAAAATTGTAGTATCGTCCTGTTCTGCAGGATAGGATACAGGACCCCAGGAAGAAGTGAAACACTAAAAATACCGTTTAAACTGTCATAATCACCCGTTCTGTTAAGAAACGATGATAAACGGCAAGAAAAAACGTGATCATCACTTTTCTTGCCGTTTTTACGTCTAGTCAGCATTTCCAAGTGTTATTCACATTAAATAGTCTCTGAAACGGTTATATAAGTCATTTTCTTCTTCGTAAAAGATAGTGAGAAATGTTTATGATCATCTTTTCCAACGAAAACAGCTGTAAATGCTTAAAGTTGATTAATCTTTTTTATGGGACTGGTTCCCATAATTATTTGTATTCTGGTGAATTTGTATTTTTTATTGTTTCACAGTACGCGTGAAAGACATTTAGTCCGTTTGGAGCTTCCATTTATCTTTTGATCTGCTAAATTACTTCAAAAAAGTATTCGCTGTAGATTTAATTATGTGAAAAAGAGTTCCTTTGATTAAAGTAAGAATCCGCATAACATTGACATCATATGAATCAAAATCATGTGTTGGTGCGAACATTACAATATCGAAAAAATACAGGTTGATTTTATTGATTTAAAGCCTCAATTTTCACATTGAAATCCTAATTTTTTGATTATGTTCAAAGCTCGAAACGTACGATAAATTATAAGTTCATAATATTCTCAAACATACAATTGCTGCATTAGAGTTTTCATCACAAATTATCAACTCATGAGTATATGAGCTAATTGAAACTCGTTTTATGACAAGCAATACAACATTATTAATTATGAGCTACATAATCCAATTAGAAACTCTAGCCAAGTCAAAAGAGAGTAATATTTTCAGTTAATATATATTCGACAAATGTATGTGGCATAAACAGAACGAATCTCATATGCTTAGTAAGGCCCCGAACAGACCGACTAATTCACTTTGAATTAGTCGGTCTGTTTGGGGCCTAATTGATTGTTAGTCTTAATCAAATTGGAGAGATATGAAAGCAAAGGGAAGAAAAGAAAAATTTAAGTCAAGAAGTAAAAGAAAAAAGTCAGAGAAGAGGAAGGAAAAAAGAATAAAGTTAGAGAAGGACAAAAGAGAAAATAAATTCGTGCAGCACATTCATTCATTGATTCGATGAAGATTGCTCAATAAGTGAACATCACTTCTGCAAGCAATGTGAATGCACACAAAGATAAGATACATGAATGGTATCTGAATTTAATCTAAAATACTATTCAGATTACGAAGAAATTCACATATTTACTGTGTACGAATTGTGAATAAGGATTCTCATTGACCGTTGGTCGAGCTTAGAAAATCTGAGCAAAAAGATTCAGATGACTCTAATAGAAGAAGTCTTCAGAATTGAACGATGTAGTGGATTTAGTTTCACCTTACGTTCTGCGTTTATTTTTGCTTTTTCTTAGGATAGTATTTGTGGAAAACTGTCTTGTACATTCTATCGAGATAGTTGACAAGATACGATATTCGTAGAAAAAATATATAATATAGAACTTATGTGTCATTTGGTAGCACCACATTCCATAATAAAATCATTAGTGAAACTAAGCTATTTAACATTTTTTTCAATTGATTTATTAAGATCAAACAGTGTGACGTTTCGTTCCAACTAAGAACATTATCAAACACAAATAAATAGACAGAAGAAGAATATATATAAGAGTAAAATAATGTCATCGTTTTTTATTCTATTGTTTTAAGCATTTCAATGCACGGGGGAGTAAAATTGGTCCGTCTGCATTAGAATGTTTAAAACAATAGAATAGAAAAACGAAGACATTATTTTACTCTTATATATATTCTTCTTCTGTCTATTTATTTGTGTTTGATAATGTTCTTAGTTAGAACGAAACGTCACACTGATTGATCTTAATAAATCAGTTCAAAAAAATGTTAAATAGCTTAGTTTCATTAATGATTTCATTTTAGAGTTTGTTATTTTACTGAGTTCGTCGCCGATTGAAACTCTTACGCGAAGAAACTTTAATTTTTTATCTCTTATACCATAAAAAGAATATAATGCTGAGTATATATTCCGTTTTTAGTATTAATCTTAAACGAACAACTAGATGATAAATATGCGTAACTCATAAAGATTACAGTAATCAAATAAAAAACTTAGCTGCTCTATTAACTTTTGTAGCAATAAATTATTTTATCTACGACAGACGACTGTTAAAGAATGAGAAAAAAAATAGTCTCAACAATGAATAAATTTTAGAAGTACGTCAATAGTGTTGCTGTTCAATATTTTCTTTTGATAAAATATACCAAAAAATTGACATCGTTTTATCTATGGTATTTTTCCTCTAGAATTTTTCGTTTGTGGTATCAATTCATTAATTCTTCTTAAAAATCTAAATTTCATTATTACATACATATCTGATACTAATAAACTAATTTAGATTCTTCTTTCATTATTCATCGAGATTATCATAAATCACAACTTTGTAACTAATTATATATTTCTCCATAGGTATTAGAATAAACTAGACTTGAGAATTCATAACGAAAACTTGAAAAGATTTCGATAGAATATTTATCAGATGTAAGACAAACGCATCATCCTTGAGCGATCGACAAATTTCTAATTACCTACGAAGAGTATAGAAAAAAAACTTTAAAAAACGATCGATGTGTCAGAAGAAAGAGTGCAGTCAGGTTTTTGTAATATCTCAAAATATTCTAATGAAAAGATCTCATTTTATTCTCAAGAAAACAGAAAAGTTAAATTTCTAACAAGTCAAAATATTTACTTAAAGAAATGAAAGTTCATGCATCTTTAAAACATGAGGCATGAGTAGAAGTCTTTTGAACAAATATCAATACAAAAAGAAAAGTTTGTAGAAAAGACTTCTATTCATGTCTTATGTTTTATAGATGCACGCACTTTCATTTCCTTAAATAAATATTTTCACTTGTTAGAAATTTAACTTTTACTTTTTCGAAAACAGAATGAGACCTACTCATTGGAATACATTGAGATATTGAGAAAAAGTACGAACGTGTATTATCCGTCATCAAATTAATAAAATTAGATAAATGGTTAGGTTACATGTAAGACGAAGATGATTCTGGAATATTAAACTTCTTTTTCAAGTAAAGTATCGTTTACGACAGATAAAATAAAGAAAAATTATGGTTTTAACGTCAACAAATCACTATTTATGACGTTTACAATCCGAATTTTAAACGACAAGAACATAATATTACTTTATGACGTAGAAAATCGTTTTTTGTGATAAACGCGTAATTTGGTCAATATATCGTCGTTTAATGGGACCCCTCCCCTCTTTCCGGGGTTTCTCGAGAACGGCTCATTGAAAAGTTATGAAATTTTCAGGCCAGATAGATCTCGATGAGTAGAGTAAAAGTTGTCATAGGCTCAAAATTCCTGGATGCTTCCTTCGGGAAGATATTGGGGTCACAAAGACTAAAAATGGCTCGAAGTCCCCCCGCAAATCTCTATACTTCATTTTTTCGAGCTGAAATTTTTTCTGTGACAACTAGGATCAAATTGGGGTGCGTGTTTTTTTTTCTTTTAAAAATATCGTTCCTAAAGCTCAGGAGAAGCAAAATACTCGAAGCACCCTCAAAAAACATGTTTTTTTTTCAATAGTACTAATTTTTAAAGGGCTGCCAAATTTCGTAGGAACAACATTTTTAAGAAAAAAAAAACACGCACCCCAATTTGATTAAAGTACTCATAAAAGAAATTTGAGCCCGATCGGACATACCGTGTAGGAGAAAAGTGGGGAAAACTTCGTTGTTTTTGTTAAAAAATAGATTTTGAGAAAAACGCAAAACAAAGTAAAAATTCTTTTTTTGCATGTATGGTTTTTCTTTTTTGCTCATTTCGAATTATTACAGGTTATCTTTTTATCCTATGACTATAACTGATGTCGAACGGCGAGTGGCCTTTATAAATGAAATCAACCATCTTCTGTCCAAAAGATCTAAAAAAAAACAACATTTGTTGCCTCCTGTTATCCTTCAATTAATCAGACTTCGGTTCCCAAATGAACTCGACAAATACAAGCCTCCTGAATCGGGAATTGATGTATCCATTAGTCAGTTTGCTCAATGGACCATGCATGCAAAATGAAACATTTCTTATTTTGTCAGAATTTGTATTGAACAGATCAACAAGAAGATAAAAGATACCTGAAACAGAAAGAAGCGACTTTTTATTAGAGAAATTTGATTGATGTTCGAAACTGCCTGAGGTTGTCGCAAGACCGAAACAATATATAACTTTGGTCATCATCAACAGGCTTATCATGATCGATAATCTATTAAAAAACGTTTAGCAAACAATATAAACTCACAAAATTGCCATCTAAAAAAATATACGCTTTTTTTTTCAAGATAGGGGTTCTCGAAACTAAGCTTTTTCAGTGCTTATACGGCTTGACATAGTTATAATTCTTACGGCACTTGATAGAGGACACTTCGATACATCTTTAGAAATGAAAACCTCAAAATCGAAAAAAAATTTTTTTTTGGGTCGGGAAAGGGGTCCCTTAAACGATGTGACATTAAACATCGTTCTAACGGCAGAATAGGGTTTCCTCAACTAACTGGGTATGAAAACGCAAAATAACTATAAATATACATTTTTACTATGATATCATTAATTATTGGATAATTATTTAGTATTTAGTTGATCTGAAATAACTTCGACACGACATATATATATATCCTTCATATTATTTCTTTGGAATACTTACAATGTATATAGAATTATTTTATATTATATGTATCTTAAATACTTCATAAATTAGTTTTAGATCCAAACTTTTATATTTTGAAATTGCAATGTAGATTGTAAGTTAAACGAAATCTCTATTTATTTAGATATTTTTTAATAAATTCCATGTTGTTAAAAAACGATTTCAAACGATATCATTATCTTGTGAGGCTCCACACAATATGTACCATAGCATTTATTATACGTTTCATTGTTTTATGTACCGATTTATCATCTGCTAAAAGTGATGCAATAGCTTTCCCTATAATGATATTATTATTGGAATTAGGATCATCCTTTATTACTTTTGTTGCAAATTTTATCTATATTTTTCTTCGTTATCTTGGACCAATTCTATTCGAATCTGATCGTGAAAAAGTTGGATGTTGTTCTCAATCATTTACTTGGAATTTAGCAACATTAACATGTTTTCGTTGTGAATGTTATCGAGAACATCCTCAACTTGTTTTAATAACTCGATTTAGTATTTTAATTTTATTTGAAGTAATGCGATTTATAGCTTTTATACTTGCTTGTATATGTGCAAATCGTTATAGACCAATAGGTTTAGGTTATTCGATTTTAGCTGGATTTTCGCTTGTACCTGCCTTATTTTTACTAGTTGTTGAATATCTTCATCATCATCGCCTATGGTTTCATTGTCGACCAGATACTTCCTCTGATGAAAAGCCTCGATATGCCGATGAACACATGTGTTTCTTACCGATTGCAATGACAAATGATAAGCAAACAAGTCATTGGCAAAATTCTCGATGTGACAAAGGACAAAATTGTTTGTCACGAAACCTCTATCATGTAATCATGTATCACGCAGGAAACACACGCTATCCTCCTGATCGAACAACGGATGGTCAAATTGTTGTTGGATTTCATCAAACAAGTCATGCTGCTGCTTATTCTATCGCTAAGTCAAAGTTGAAACCTTCGAAAACAGGATGGATCGGACAAGGTATATATTTTGCAACATCACTGAATCACACAGAATTTAAAGCTAATCAATTTGGAGCATATGTTTGTGCGAAAGTAGATTTGGGTAAAACACAACGCATCAAAAATCCCGCAGATTGGTCTTCTGTAGGTAACTGTGATACAGTTTATTACGAACATCCTCGTGGTGCTGATGAATTTTGTGTACGTAATGAAAAACAAATTCGTTCTTGGATTATTGTTATTGATCAAGATCCGAATGTGGCTGTCTTAAAAGAAAAAAATAATAAACCCTTATCATCCGGAAAATATGTTGAAGATCGATTAGAAGACATTGTGTATCAAGGATGTTTGTTTTAATGCTTCAGAAACTATTTATATATGAACTACTTTTTCTTTTCAAAAAGAAATATCAATAAATCATAAAATTAGTAGATTGAACAGAAAGAATGTGAATTTTTAAGTGTTAGAAAAAATGCTGTGTTGATTTATAAGCATATCTAATGATGACCCTAGTATTCATAACAATTCATTTCTTTTGAGGTACATTAATACTTTTGAACATAAAGATAAACAACTATCTTAAATTCTGAATAAATAGTTATATTTTCATTTCATTTAATTGACAAACAAAACACGTACTATGATAATCAATGTTGATATCTTGGTTTCAAAAGAACTGTTTGTTTAAATATTTCGAAACATTCCCAGAATGGGATATTTGAATGATAAAACACTGAAAATAGTAACTATCTACTAAAAAAAACGATTCCATTAAAATTATTGTCGACGATCAGGCTTCCCAAATGCCGCATGACAACTGTTAGCACTGGTTTTCGACAAAGTACTGAGAATGAGAACAAAAGAAAAAAGAATGAGAACCGGTAGAAATTCTATTTTTCGTATATTCAATTAATATCATGCTATATATTTATATAATAAAATTAGATCTTATAGGAGAAAGAGTGGTTAGAGTATCGACATTAATCTCGAGAACAAAAGCGTGAAAAAAAATTTTGAATTAACAGTTTCATGTTGAAGTATTTTAAGATTTATTTTCTTAAATTTATGCATCTATCTGTAGTGTCTTTTTAATCAATAAAGGACTATTGTCGTTGTTTTTTTTTTACACCACAGATAGTTTAGAATTTTTTGATGCCTTGCCTCTCCTCATTGGTAATATCCCTAGAAGAATAATCATGTGAAAATACATGATGTCAATGTTATTGTATGTTTCAAAACCCAATAGAGTTCTTCGTATTCTTCACTTGTATACACGACATATTGTTTCTATCTTGCACATATATAAGTGATTGTCTATGATCGAAGACATATCTTTGACTCAATTTGAGTATAAGAGTAAAATTTGTCTTATCAATTTCGGTTCGTTGAAGAAAAGAGTACTATTTAGTGAAACACTGCTATATTAATGCATAATATCCTTTGATTCTTCAAATCCTAATATATATTGAAATAAATTAAATTTCAACAAGAAATTTATCGGCATGTTGATCTGTTGTTATTGACGATCTCAGCGTACTTTACTGTATGTAACAGAGATGCCAACAGGCCACTTTTTTCCGGCCTGGCCTGGCCTGGCCTAACCTAGCGTATAGGCCAGGCCAAAAACCAAAGAGTGGCCTGCGGTCTGACCTGGCCTGACCTGCAGGTCAAACCGGGCCGATTGATGTTTCTGATTTTTGAAATCCATTAAATCCAACAACTCTGTACTAATCAGAGCTGCCGGCAGACCACTTTTTTGCGGCCTGGCCTGGTCTAATTCATATTGCCTGCAAACTTCGAATATGAATTTGCATATCTTATACTGATTTTTATTTAAGTGTAGTGAGGAACTTGTTGAAAAGCCTAAACAATGCTTTCAATGGTGAGTCAACAGATTTTTGTTTAGCTTATAGGTCTCTTTTTCAACATACTAAGACCTGTTGGAGTCGGCCATTTTGAAGAAAGGATACTTCTATAGTGGGTGAGTGGATGTTAATCTGTCTAGGTCTTTTTGACACCCACACGCCGTCCGAGAAAGGCTTCAATTAACAAAATGCCTTCGATTGTAGCAAATCTGTTCTGCATTATTCGAAAAAATATATCCATGATAACTAAACAACATATGACGAAGCGTAGAATGAATAGGTAAAGAAAATACAGAACAAAAATATCGTCAATGCGTGTTACTTATGATGGGAGGCAACGAGATTTTTATTTAAGAATCAAATTTTATGAATACACGATCACAAAATTTATTATCCATTTGTTCTGAATCTAAACAAGCCCTTCTGTGAGTGAATACAGATCCTATAACATTAAATTAATGTTCAGTACAAGTTTTGACCGCTAGAATCGCATCAATTTGTTAAATCAGTTTCGGATAATAAGACCATGCATCAATATTTGATCTTCAACATTTAGGAACTACTCAAGTAAAAGTGAATAAGTATTCTGTGATTTAACGAGGAAAGATATTACGGTTATATATCTGAAAACACGTTAAAAATTGGCTTTTAACGAAATTCCACACATTCTATCTCGACAGAAACAGTTTAGCTTGAATTAACAAATGAGATTTGTTAAAAAGAACGTTTAGCACATATTAATAGTGAAAAATGTTATGCCTTCTTTTCGTTAAATCGTTAAATTTTCTTAAAATTTTTACATGGACAAGCTGATCATTTTGATCTGGTCTAGCCTGCAGGCCAACAACTTCAGCCTGGCCTGGCCTGCAGGCCAGGCCGAATATTATTTGGACGGATCAGGCCAGGCTAAAATTTCAGAATTCGGCCTGGCCTGGTGGACGGCCTGAGGGCCTGCCAGGCGCCTGTCAGGCAGCAGGCCAGGCCGGCAGCTCTGGTATGTAACGCGTACATAATGAAATACTTTTAGACAAAATACTTTTCTTGTAAGTTATCTCGACAAGAGTCGTTTTGAACGAAATGGAGGCAACGTATTACATGTTGTAGTACACAGCTTGGGCTATAAATAGTGCTCTAATACAAAAAATTGAAACATTTCTATTTTGATTGTTTCACATTGACTCGTGATTTTGTTAGTGATAGAAGTTCGTTAAATTTTTCGTTTTTTGTACGAATACTATTAACAAATACTAGTAATGAGTACCTTTATTCACTTCATTAAAGACATTTGACCTATTGTCAAGTAAGAAAAGTATATATGTGGCATCCCAGTATAATATTTAACTGTCATTTAAGAAAATAAAAAAAGAAAATCAAGTGAAACTTTGTGAATGAGGGTGTTGGTGTGGATGGATGTGTGCCATAGGATCCAGTCACAGTGGAATTCGAGCGATGTCATATACACTTCCCATAGAACAAAATCATTGAGATTAACACTGAAAAACGCATAAACAATATTTTATGAACAATAGCAAAATCTTGTTGAGGGTATAGGTGTGGGTGAGGGTGTGGGTGTAGATCTTCTCATCACACTCACACTCACACCAACACCCTCGATCATCGTTATATTGGTCATTATCCACATATATTGAATGACTCGACATTAATAATTTCACGCAGTTTCAATCAAGATTACTCCGTTACAAAAAAAGTAGAACTCAGAGCCAAGATAAAAACTGTCACCGAAGGTGTTTTAAAAATAGATATTCTGGTAAAAAAATACCAAGGATCTCATATTCTTTCTATCTCTCTCCTCTGAACGCTATGTTTTCTATTGTATCAATTCTTTTTGTTGTCATATTCTGCCAAATGTGCATATATATATCTACATGTACATGCACATGAAGCAAAATGATGCACACAAAAGAATGACAAAGATTAAAAAAAACGACGAAGTATCTAAAGAGAGATAGAGAGATCCTTTGTGAGAATTTATCAAGGACATAAGGGAAAGGTCAAACACGTCTGGCTATTCAGACACTTTTTACATTCTTTTTTTTCGTAAAATTTCCTAGATAAGTTGATTTTGAGAGCGTTTTAAAAGAGAAAGTATCTTATCTGAATTTTAGAGTGTATCACTCATGAATAAATCAACTTTACCAAAGGTATATCAACTACGCAAGTAGGATCAAAACGTAGAACGGTTTTCAGCATAGCATTATTGTTGCTGCTGGCAATTTCCCTATCTTTTTTTCATTTCTAAGCCTTGTATTCTCAATAGAGATGTTGCCAACGGAAAGAAAAACATAAAACGAGAAAGCATAAGGAAGATTGAACATAATGCGTCGAGATTTATGACAGATGTCTTTAGTAACGAGATTAGTATGGAGAGAGAAGGTGATGAAGATTATACGATGTAATAATTGTTTTTTATATTTCGTTTAGTATATCTTTCAGATAAGTTTCCTATCTTTTATTGCCGTTTAAGTAAACATGTGTCTACTTTACTTTTGTCACTTTTGTCAAAATCATCCATCGATTACTTCATTTGTAATTCCTGCTCATACCATTTTTAAAAGTGGAAATGATATAGAGGAATTTGCAATTAATTCGTTCGAAAAAAACTATACTCGGTTTTTACTTGATTTACGGTAAGGTTACTCATTACCACACAGTATCATCAAATCAATCACATCTCATTTTATATCAATGGAAGGTGCATTATTTAAAATTATTCAACATCAAGTAACACAATCATCAACAGATCTACTAATCCTGTTATGTCAGTAGAGACATCTCCTGGCATAATAAGGCCCCTTTGTATCCCTCTATGATATTAAAGAGGAGGAATCGACTGGTGGAAGAGAGAGAAAGAGAAAAGCACATATTTTGTTACTTTTTTGTTTGTGCGAATTAGTGATTGTTTTTTATATGTGGAAGAAGGATCGAAATAATAATAAAGAAAGCGAGAAAAGGGCCTAACAAATCCTATTAAAAGATATAGAAAAATTGAAATCACCAATAAAAACTTCAATATCTGATATCGCCAAAAACGATTACCAATTTTCGAAACGTTATGAAGAATGTTTTGAAGACGTAGTCCCATTGAAAATAAAACTGAATGATCAAGATGATTGTGACTATTATGTTACGATTGAGCGAAGCATTAAAAGTTTATTGAATAAACCAGATGTTATCAGTTATTTGATATGAAGTTTAAGCGATCATATATCACAGAATATGAACGATACTGGCTTAATATTAGTATATGGTGATAGTAGTATTGCACAAGATAATCCTTCATTGAAACTTAATCTTAATTTATTCTGATTCACCATTTCGAGATTAAAAGTCTACTTCATTCCATATTGACTAAAACATTTTCAACACGCCCTTACTCATGCAAAACAATCTAAGAACAATGGAAAGCACATTAACTCTTCCCACAATAGACTAAAACGTAACACCAGTCAACAAAAAAGTATTCACGTGTCT